ATATTCAGAAAGATGTCCCCTCCCCGATGACTTCCAGTGGCCAGGAGCAGTTGGACTTTGTGGGAAGACGGGACCAGACTGGGAAAATAGGAGTGTCCGTGGGAAGGAGAAAAGGGGTGACAGCATTTCTGTTTTAATCAAAATGCTTTTCCGTTGCTGATGCAGTCATGGCAGTGAAGGCTGTGGTCTAAAGCGACAGACTGTGAGCTCATACAAACGTGTCCTGTACTTCAAAGCTGGCTGGCATGCTGGTCCCACGTTGGCCATTCTGCAGCCTGTGCCGTGGAGTCTGTCGGTCGCCAGTCCCGTGAATGAACCCAGGTTTTTTTCCTCTGAGTTAGGAGAAGGCTCCACATCCTCACAGTCTTCCCTGGTGTCTGAAAAGCAGTGAAAGCCCTGAGCAGCCAGAGCTGTGCTCCATGGAGCAACCAGGCCTGGGAGGTGTCCCCTTCTCTCTGCTGGACTCTGTGCTTGGCCCTGGTCCCTCTGCCGTGGGCAGGACCTTTGTTCTTACGCTCCTGTGGGGTCACATGGGCGCCGCTGGTGAGCTGTGTGGGGCACTGAGTTAGTGGGTCAGGTGCAGGCCGGTGTCCTTACCCCAAGGGTTGGACAGGATAGGACACCTAAGTCTCTGAAGGCTGGCGAGGGGGTGGCACCAGAAGAGGGGCTGGTGATGAGTTCTGGAAGAGATTTTCACCGACAGGTAGGCCACAAGTGAGAAAAGGAGGTCATGCATTAGGATGTTGTTAAGTGAACAGGTTTCTGAGATGGGGAGTCGGTTTTTGCTTGGGCTCTTCTGTTCTGACCGGTGGGCATCATGGGACATCACCCACGTAGAGGCATGGCTCTGAGAGAATAAACAGTGGCGGGGAGGATAGGAACAAGGATGTGGATAAGACTTTTGATTAATAAAATTTTGGCTCCAGGCGTGACCAGAGCCTTAGGTATCACCCACATCACTTTACAGGTGACAACACTGCAGAGATTGCCGTAGCAGGACTTGTCCAAGGTTAGAGAGCACGTTAATGGCTGAGTCGGGGTAAGGAGCCAGGTCTTGGGGCTGCTCGCGGGGCAGTGGAGGGCTGGAGCACGACAGCTCTCGCGCCACTCAGTGCAGGTGGCCAAGAAAGCCAGTGCCACCGGTTGTCCATCAGATACTGTCATCCAGAAAAAAGGCTGGGAGGTTACCCAGAAAATGCTCATCTTGGTGAGGAACTTGGTGTGAAAAGAAGGTATGAGTGCAAGGGCCGGTGGAGGGCATGGACCCCGGTAATGGCTGCTGAAGCCGAAGACCAATCCTCCGGAGTCCTTTTGGGAAGATAAAGCCGAATGGTGCTTGTCCTCCCCATTCCTCCGGACAGCCACGTCCTGAGATGTGGGCACCCCTGGGCGCTAGGAGATCACTAGTGAAGGGAAGGCCAAACATAATAAGACTGAAACTCATACTCTGCCAGCCACCGCCCTGACCATGAACATGGGCAAGAGTTTCACTTGCTGAACCACGTGTGAATAGAGCGTTGGCCACTCCCCGGACTGCCTGTTAGAGAAGCACATATCTGTCATGTCTGCAGGCAACAGGACACTCAGTCATCATGCATGCATGTACACACTTGTTGCCCAGAGCTGTACAGTGGTCTTCCCTTGTTCACAGTTTTGGGGACCCACAGTCAACATGGTTCTAAAATACTAAGTTTTTCCAGCCATTGACACTGTCTGCTCCTGACATCCAGCCATTCACATCGTAATGGCTGAGTGCTCCAGGATCACCTGAAGTAGGTGACCCTCCTTCTGACGTATGTTCAGAAGGCCAACAGCAGCCTAACACTGTGTCACAATGTAGATTTCACTTAATCTTACCACATAGGGATTTATCACCTCTCACCATCAGAAGAATGGTGAGTAGAGTATAGGGAGATATTTGGAAAGTGAGACCACATTTTCACAACTTTTATTATACCCTATTTCCCCCCAAATAAGACAGTGTCTTATATTAATTTTTGCTTCCAAAGATGCGCTAGGTCTTATTTTCAGGGGATGTCTTATTTTTCCATGAAGAAGAATACGGTACACATTTATTGTTAAATGAAAATAAAGGAAATTTATTACCTGTATACGGTACAGTAGTACGGTAGTTGTCAACACAAATCAGACAAACTGTGAATCAAGAATTTACAGTATCAAGAATTTACTCATTTATTCAATGATAATCATATTATCATCTTATGGAACATCATCATAACAATCCAATTCCTGAATTTCCTGGTGAATTTCTTGTGACTCCATTTCTTTCAGAATCAGTGGACCAAATCTCTCATGTTTAGCTTGGGGGGGGGGGCTTATTTTCCGGGGAATGCCTTAAATTTTTCACTCAGAAGGAAACCTGTAAGTAGGTCTTATTTTTGGAGGATGTCTTATTTTCAAAGAAACATGGTAGTACTAGTGGCCTAGTGCAGGAAATTCATGCACATTAAAAGGGAATTAATGGGAGTATTTTAATATTACTATTTACCCTTTTTCTATAATAGAAGTGTCAGAGCTGAAAGAAAATTAGTAAAACGTATATGAAAATCGCCCTCCTGTCAGAGTCTGGGGTGCGCCATGGGACCTAGAGTCAAGGCCTGGCCCACCACCCGCATGCGCTTTGGATATGCAGGAGACCCAGATCTGGCTGGCTCCTCTCCCATTGGGTGAGAACCAAACCCAGCCGACTCCACCACCATCAAGTCCCTCAGGCCCTGGGGCCTGGTACTGGGTGGGGGTGCAGTCTCAGGTCCCCCATCAAGCCCCACCTGAGGTCCCCTGTCAAGCCCTGCCAGGTTTGAGGGTCATGGTCTGAGGTCCCCCAGCCCAGCCCAGGGGTGGGGGGAGGGTGCATGGCCTGAGGTCCCCTGTCAAGCCTCACGGGGATGGGGGGCGTGGCCTGAGGTCCCTCTCCCCAGCCAGGGGCCATGCAGCTTCAGGTCCCTGCTGTTTGTCCTGACATTATGGCATCCCAGCTAATTTGCATATTCCTCTATTATATAGATAGATGTTTTTGTAATTGTTCTATTTTACTAATAGTTGTTAATCACTTATTTTGCCTCATTCACAAAATAAGCTTTATTCTAGGGAGGTACATATAGAGAGCAGACATAGTACATACAGGGTTCGGTGCTATGGGTTTCAGCATCCCTGAAACATACCCCTCATGGATAAGGGGGCTGGGCTACCGTGTTCCAAACATGCTTTGCCCAGAACGCCGCTAAGACCTGTCCCTGTGCCCAGCATTGTGAAATGCACTTTCAGCATCAAGAATGTTCAGTTAAAATGTTCTGTACTGTTACTATTTCTCAACGGGGTTGGATCATCACGGCCCGGAGGAAGATAACATGGGGGTGAGGTGGGGTACACTGCACTATCGTGGACAAGGGTGTGTGTGTGTGTGTGTGTGTGTGTGTGTGAGTGATTGAGAAATCAGTTGTTGTCTTTGGCAAGGAGTAAAGGGAAAGCCAGCAACAGCGCCGTGATTGAGAAAGAGGCCTGCTTGGGACTGGGCGTGCCTGCGGTGGGAGCGTGCTCACTGGACACCACGTGCCTCCGGCCGGGACTGCGCCGAGGAGGCTCGCCTGGGGCCCGGGTTCTCACGCTGCCGTGCTCACTGTGGGGCTGGGAAGGCGGTGGCAGAGGGTGGCTTAGTGGAGGTGCCATGATCTGGGCCGAAGGGCCCAGACAGTGTGATGCTGGCTCGAGTGTGTAACTCGAGTTTGTCTATGTTCAGTACCATCAGCTCTCTCTGCAGCCTTTCACTGCGGCCTTAACATATCCCCATTCTGATTGCAATAGTGTGTTGTCTCTAAGGGGCCTGAATGCCTGCTGCTGCCCCACCAACCTGGCTCCTGCCCCTGGCTGCCTCTGCCCACCCTGTTCCTCGGGGCCAGACCCCTGGGCAGGTGAAGGGCAGTGGTGGGTGGAGGTGGGTCCTGGCAGAGGCAGGGAAAGGCCTGAAGAGTGTGGGTGGGAGGAAAGTCCGTGTTCTGGGCCAGATGGCCCACATGCCAGCCAGCCGCTCAGAGCCCAGCCGTGTGCGCCTGGACCCTCCCCAGTGCTCAGCTCCCAATCGTCCACCTGCTTCCCTGCGTCGTGGTAGCTCCATTGCTGGCTCCGGAGGGGCCGAGGGGCCAGTGTGAAAGGCCCTGGGTCCGGGGGTAGGGGCCGGGCACCGTGTCAGCTGGGCCCCCGGTCGCTTGTTGACAGGGCCTCTGTCTCCGGGGGGTCCCATGTGCCAAGCCACCTCTCAGATCTGCAGCGATGGTGTGAGATAACGTGTATGACAGTCCTTCCGAAAACCAAAAACAACCACAGCCACCTTTCATTCAAAGACTATTCCCTGTTTCTCGAAGCCTCTCTTTCTGTCAGGGCCCACCCTGCAGCAAGACCAGCAGGAAGACCTAAAGCGGGGCTTAGGGGAAGGGATGCATGTTGGGGAGCCGCTGTGGTTCTGAGAACATCTGGAGGCCCGGCGAGAGAAGCATCTCGTGTGCATACAGCTCACTACGGAGTGCGCTCATTGCCTGCGGCACTGGAGTGAGGCAGGTGCAGGCCTGGCCCTCCTGCTCCAGGGCTCTGGCCGAGGCCCAGTCTGTTTGACTGTCCTGGGCTCTTTCCCTCCACCCTCTGAAGGTGGATCTGATTTAGGGTGGTTTTTGTTTGTTTGTTTGTTTTTTGTTTTTTGGTGTGTTTTTGTGTGTGTGTGTGTGTGTGTGTGTGTGTGTGTGTATGTGTGTATGTGCCAGGGAGTGAGCAGTAGGAGGGGTCCTGTTCTCCCCCCTTTCTGGTCAAGACCAGGAACAGGTGCTTCCTTGCAGGGGTCCGTAGGGAAAAGGGGCGCTTTAGGCCACCTCACCCCATCAGTGCCCAGCTCCAGCTCCCACTCCCGCACCCCCTCCCTCCCGCCACCTGCCCAAGGGAGGGCCTTCGGTCCAGACAGAGCAGCGGCAACCTGTCTTCTCCTCTCCCCACAGGAAGCTGCACAGCGGGATGAAGACGTACGGGTGCGAGCTTTGCGGAAAGCGGTTCCTGGACAGTCTGCGGCTGAGAATGCACTTGCTGGCTCACTCAGGTAGGCCCGGATGCCTCGACCACCTCTCCCTGCACCGCCAGCCCCCTCCTGCCCTCTCCCCTGCGCTCAGGGTGTGGGCGTCCTGCCAGGCCTCGCTCCGCCTCGTCCCGTGGGCGCTCCCTCAGGTTCACGGGGCAGAGAGTCCGTCCTGCCGCCGTGCTCCGCCTCCCCGCGCAGAGTGCGGCCTCATTAGCAAAGCCGCCTTGGAATTAAGTTCCCGCTCTCTAATGAATCTGACTATTGGGTTCACATTATACAGGAGCCTTTAATTAAATAGATATAGAAAGGTTGGAACACAAAGCTAGTTACGCCGTGCTGTGTTTTGCAAGTTAATTTTACCCAGTTCCAGTGGGGTCGCCTTGGCGGCGGTCGGCGTTTTTTCTCATGTTTGGTCAGCGCTGCTCTGCCCCATGCGGTTTAAAAGGGGGAGAAGCCCTGACTCAGGGGGGCTGGGTGTTCACGGTGGGAGGAAGGTGCTGCTGGAGGTCCAGGGTCACCGCTTCAGTTGCAGAGCCCTGCCCCACCCCACCCCACCCCACCCCGGTCCCCTGCCTGGCCTGTGCATGCTTCCTTCTTGTTCCCTGCCTTCAGCTTCGCCGGCACACTTTGGGGGGGAGGAAAGGGCTACCTTCTCATTTGGTCTTGCTCTTGGCTCCTAACAGCGGTCAGCGTCTGCTGGTCCTTCCCCAGATTGCTTCGGCGGCTGGGCCGCAGGCAGCTTAGCCTCCGTGAAATGAGCCTGGGCTTCGGGTTGGGCAGATGAAGATTCCATCTTGTCTATGATGTGCGCGAATTGTGGGGCCTTGGGCAGGTCTGCCTTCTGAACCCCAGTGTCCGCATCTGTAAATGCAGGTGTTGCTCCCTCGTATACTTCCTCTCAGCACGAGGTGGTGGGAGGTATGTGGAAGGCATCTGTGGCTCGCTCCCCGGCACACAGGTGCTGTGTAACGAATGGCGATTGCTTCTGCCTCCACCTTCCTCTTTGCCCAGCGGCGATGGCACCTGGGCGTGTTCCTCGCACCGTGCTCCAGAGCTCCTGGTTGGGGGCAGGCTGCAGTCTGTCCTTACTCCATCTCCCGCCCAGACAGTTGTGTGGGTGCGCACGGTGGGTGTCAGTGTCTCGACCCGCTCACTGTCTTGCCTGAAGGGCCCTCACCCCTTCTCACTTCCTGCTCTTCCCTCTTCCACTTCCAGGGGCTGGGCCACACCCAGGGGGCTGTCTGTCTTGGCATGTCCCCTCCGTCTTTGTGTCCCCCCTTCCTCTTTCTGTCCGGCATTCCCCCCCACACACACACCTGGCTCCCTGACCATCCTCCTGCCGCTGGCCTATCCCATGCTGGCCGGCATCCCGAGTCCAGGTGTCCCCGCACTCAGCGTCTGCCCGGCACGCAGGACTCCTTTTGTTGTTTCTGTTACTGGCATCGTCTGTCTTCTTGCTTCCCGTCGGCTTTTCATGCTGCTTAGGGTTCAGCGTGGGTTTCCTGAGCTGCTCTCCCTCTGGGTTTGCTCCACCTGCAAACCCCTCGCTCCCTCCGCGTGGAATAACCGTCCCCGTCCTCCCAGACCTTCCAGGTCCCTTCTGCACGGTGTCCGTGACCCCTCCCACCGCCGGCAGGACAGTTGTGCCTTCTTCTGGGCGATGTGTCTTTGTCTGCAGCGTCTGTGGGCACACTCTTCCTTCTTCGGATGGTGGCCATTTATGGACTTGCCTTGTCTCTTCTCCTTGGGAGTCAGGGTTAGGAATCGGGGCGCCTACCTCCTGACCACGTGCCCGTGGGTGGGAGATGTAAGCTCTGTGGGCCTCCCTGTCCTCACCTGTCAGCTGAGGAGTCGCCTGCCTCGCTCGGAGAGGCTGTGGCTCACATCACATGCTTAGCGCTGTGCCTGGTGCGTGGCAGGTGCTCAGCGTGGGTAGCCTGCCCTGCCCTCCCCTCCGCTTCTCTGACAGACGGTAAGCTGTTCTGTCCCTCAGACCTCTCACCCTTCGCAGGGATGTCTTGAAAATAAAAAGCAACGAGGGCTTAGTGAGGCAAGACCACTTCCTAAATGGTGAGGCAGTGACGGCAGAGACCTGGCGTTGAGGGGGCAGGGCTGGGGGTGCCAGGCCTTCTCTCCCGCAGATCCTGGCGGCCCTCGCTGGGCCGCCCATCCCCTGGCTCCTGCTCTGGTTGCGGGACAGCAGAACCGTGTGATGCGTAGAGGAGATGTGCAAGATGTCCTTGCTGCGCTGTGTTGGAGGCTCCATGCAGGAAGCTGACAGCAAGCATGTCCCCCGGGGCTGTGCAGTGCAGACCCATTTTGCAGAAGATGCCCTGGGGCTGGGGCTCCAGAACCCTGGGGACCGTTTTTTTTTTTAAAGGGGCAGGTCGTGGAGAAGCGAGCCTGGGGCCCCGGGTGGAGTCGTGGCGTCCTGGCTTCCTCTGAATGTCATTGCTGTCTCTTGCACAGGCACATTCCTGTTGTTGTCTCCTGCTCAGCAGAGCAGAACAGCATGCCCTCCCTCGCTCCCTCCCTGGCTCTGCGAGCTAGCGGTCCCCACCCCCTCTTGGCTAGCACGGGGGTGTTTGTTATTGTAGCGCTGGCGCTGGGCCAGGCCTGGCTGGGAGCCAGCCTTGTGGGTACAGTGTGTACAGTGAGTGCTGAGCCAAGTTTGTCATCATACACGATTAATTTTTTTTTCCCCCTAATCGGGAAGGGGTGGGGTGAAGGAGGAGGCAAGGAAAAGAGTTTCTCCCATGCTTGAGACGAGCCCACATTGAGTCTGCGGAGCTGTTATTTGTGAAGGCTGATGGCTTTGGCTTGTTTATCCCTTCCTCTCCTCTCCTTTCCTCTCCTCTCCTCTCCTCTCCTCTCCTCTCCTCTCCTCTCCTCTCCTCTCCTCTGCCTCGGAAATCAGCCCTTGCGAGTCTGTCAGTGACTAGACTGCTAAATTTACATTCCTAAATCAGTTTTCATTGTGTGGAAATTGACAATTTGTTTAATTAGAAGTTTGCTCTGTAGGAGGCCCTTTTCAGAGACAATTCTTTCTTTCTCTTTCTCTCTCTTCCACTCTCCTTCTTTTTTTCTTTTCTGAGACCTGCAATGGCGGTAGTGAATGTTCGGTTTAATTGAAGCTTTGGTTTCGATTTGAGTGTGTTAACTAGTCAAGTGTTTACAAGATGTACCTGATGATAACAATAAGTTTAAATTAACCAACATTAACCTCACTCATTAACTAACGAGACTGATCTGGCAAGGCCCCGAATTCGCAGAGACGGGTTGGGGGCTCCAGGAGGGTGCGAGGGCTGGGAGAAAGGCTGGGGCCGGAAGGGTGGCCGCCCCTATGCTTTGCGGAGCTGGTCCTCCTGCCGCATGAACCCTGGGGACAGGAAGGTGGCCATGAGCAGGGAGGAGCCCAGCCCCTCGGGGTCCCAGGCTCACCCTGCACTCCCCCTCCTCACACAGGGCGGCCCCATGGCTGCGGGCGCGGTAGGGGCGGATGCTGTCTCTTTGGCGCGCCTTGTTCTCACTGGAGAGGCGGTTCCTAGCTCTGGGGTGTCCATGCGAAGCCACAGCCTCAGGCGGTGACTCCAGTTGGTGCTGCAATTCGCTCGTGTATGGTTTCCTATTGGGTAATATCTCCCACAGCTTGGCTTACCGTCCTGGTGGATTACAAGTGAGCACACCCAGAACTGCTGGCCCCTATTTTTGACTTGGCTGTGTACTATTTAGAGGTTTGCATATTTCTGTGGCCTGCTCGTATTCTGGGAGTGCCCTTCATGTTTGGAGCCAGCGGACATTTACTTAGCAAATGTACTTGACCCTGGAGAAGCCACAGCTCGCCTGCCCTCAGGGAACTTCTGTCCAATAGGAGGGATGTTTGGCTATGAGTGGGGGAAGGAGGTAGCGTGTGCAAAGCACCCAGGAAGGGAGGCTTTCAGAGGCAGAGGGACCTAGGGTGGTGGAACTTAATGGATGGTGAGAAGGGGACCCTGAAAGGAGCCGGTAGGGGAAGGCCAGCTCGCCCAGAGTGGTAGCATGTAGTTAGGGTGTAGGCTGTGTGGTGGGGGTGGGAGAAGGAAAAGATAGGGCAAGGTTGTGGAGGGCCTTGAGTAGCCAAACGACATGCATTTTACCTGCATCCCTGGAAAGCCACTGGAAGACTGAAGGGAATAAGTCCCCTCCGGAATAGAAAGGCCTGCGGCTTTTTGGTGTAGACTAGGCAGGAGTATAGGGTTTATAAGAGCCCATGGAGAAATGGCATGCCTGGCAGGCCATCTGGAGGCATAGCTGGAGTAGAGAGAGGCTGGTGCCTCTTGCCCTGGTGAGGGGCACACACCTGCCTGAGAGCCCAGTGCCCTCGGGGCCTTCTCCCTGTGCCCATTCCTGTAATCAGCCATTGAGAAATCACCCCCTGCCCATATTCAGCACCACTGGGACAGAATAATGTGGAGTTGGGTGATGATTGTCTGATGCCAGCTGCAGTGTGGGGTGGCCAGGGCACTTCACCTGGGGCCTGGGGACATCCATCTGGCAGGAAGGGGTAGAAGGGGTTGGGGCCAAAAACCAGATTGCTTTCCCCTGTTCTGATTGGAAGGAAAATTACAAAATGTTAAAGGTGTGTGGGTTGTACTTGTTCCCTTTTTTCTTGTTTTTGGAACACGTAGATTTGGGGTTCAGGGTTCTTCTTCCCAAAGTCAAGGAAGTGGGGGTGGGGGGCAGAATAGCTGGAGGAGTTCCTGGGACCGCACCGGAGAGGAAATGAACTGGGAGAAGCCCCTGAGGGTGCACAGGAGGCTCTCAGAACCTGCGGCTTCCTTCTCTCATTCCCCTCTCTTCTCCCAGACAGTGTCTCCTGAGAGCGAGAGATTGGGGGCTACCCAGGCAGGCCCAAGCCCGCGAGTCGCTTCGTGCCCTCTGTCCAGTGAATGTCTCTGCTCCCTTCCGGTTAGCTTTCCCGTCAGGGCAGAGCCAGGAGGGAGCCAGGAGGAACCTTCCTCAGGCCCTTTCACTCCCCGCAG